CATTTTAAGCCAAGGTATTGCTAATTCACTAAGTTGCCCATGCTGGGCTCAAACTTTCGATGTTCCTGCTTCAGCCTCCCAGAGTGTGGGATTACAGTTGCGCTGCCTGCCTGGCTTTTTTTGAGACAGTCTCACTAAGTAAATTGCTCAGGCTGGGCTTGCCTCAGCCTCCCAATGAGGCAGCCTCCCACAGGCCTGTCTCCACAGTGGGTGCTGAGAATCCTCACTACAGTAAGTGTCCCCCAGGCAGTCCAGCTCATCCCCTACGCTTAGCTGGCACCTCGTTCAGTAGCAGTTTAGTCCTCAAGCGTTTTGGGCCGGCCTGCTGGCTGGGGTCGGGCCCCGGGAGGTCTCAGCAGCAGATCAGACAAACAGCAGTGGCACGGGCAGCTCTTCTGTGTTTCTTGGAGCTGGGGGTGGAACCCTGGGCCCTGAGTACACTGGGCAAGGGCTCCTGAGGAGCCGCACTCCCTGCTCAGTAGCTCACACTCCTTCAGCATTTGTTTTGTGCCGGGTCCTAATGCTTTATGTGGGTTCCACTAGATCCCACAGCTCTCAAGCGAGACATTTTTGTCCCATTTTCCACTGAGGAAGCTGAAGGAGATTAGAGGAACTCGTGCAGGGTCCTCAGGAAGGGCTTCTGGCTGGAGGTGCTGGAGACGCCTTGCCCTGCACCACAGCACCAGGGCCTCTCTGCCTGGCTGGGGAACAGCTCAGCCTCTGTCCGCTCCCCTGACTGTGCACTGGGAATGTGACCAGGTCCCCTGGGCAGGACCGGCCGAGAGGATTCACCAGGCTGACTTTTCTGAAGTAATTCAGCCTGCTTTTGGTCTTCAGGGAGGATTAGTGTCAGGAACCAGGGACGAAAATGACCCTTATTGCTTTATTCTGTGTGCACGGTACCCATGGGAGCCCACCCAGCACACAGCAGACTTGGGGAGGCGAGATGGCACCCAAGGGCCCTGTGGTGCCGAGGGGTTGGGCTCCCACCTAGCAGCATCCAGCATGGCTGTGCCCCTGCACTGGTGCCCAGGCCTTCCCGCTTCCCACTTCCGGCTCTCTTCTGAGGTGCTTGCTTTGTTCTGGGATGGAGCCGACGCCAAGGAAGGGAAATGACCAGTGGAACCTCCCATTTACTTTCATTTCAACTCAGGAAATATTTGAGTCTACTCAGAGCCACTGGTGCACAAGACAGCAGTCTTTGCCCTCAAGAGCTTACCTCCTTGTGCGGGAGACTGACACTGAAACAAGGAATTGCACTTTTTTCTTTCTCTTTTTTTTTTGGAGACAGACTCTAAGTTGCAATTTGCCCAGGCTGCTTGAACTTGAGATCCTCCTGCTTCAGCCTCCCAGAGTGCTGGGATTACAGATATGTGTCAACATGCATAGGTATTTGCACAAATCATTTAATGAAGAGGTGTTATAGCTTGTGTTCAGAACATTTATTCTGCCAACATATAATGAAATTTTATCCCGTTCCCCCCCCCTTGCTAATATATTGAGTAATGTTGCCAGACTTAACCAATACAAATCCAGGATGTTCTATCAGGTGGCCCTTGATTTGGTCCCCAATATCACAGGATGCTCAGTGGACTGTTGACTCTCAGATTAACACCAGGCAACAGGCAAGCCTTGCTTGACATACACATTCAACTAGAAGCCCTGCTGTTTTGTCTACTTGCATGCTGAGCAACAGAGGTCCAGAGGTAAATAAGACAGCCAAGAATCCTGCCTTCAGAGCCAGGAGTGGTGTCATACACCTGTCATCCAGCACTCAGGAAGCTGAGGCAGAAGGATTGCCACAAGTTCAAGGCCAGCCTGAACTACACAGCGAGACCCTGCCTCAAAGTACAGAAAGAGCAGAGTGCAGAGAGTATGAGGAGCTGAGGCTGGGGACACAGGTAACATGCAGGGCCTTGAGGACCATGCTGAAGCACTAGAGCTTTATTTGAGGGTAACTGCAGCACTGAAGGTTTTTTTGTGAGAGGGATGGAAGGATTTTAAAGGATATGATCACATTTGCAGTTTTGGAATCCAAAATCCAGTCCTTCTGAAGGCTTGGTAGAGAACAGAGAGATGTGAGGACCAATGGAGGGAGGGCAAGTGGGAAGCTAGGCCAATACCTCAGAGGAATCACAGCAGCACCTTGCAAGTGGCAGTGGATGGTGAGAAAACAAGCATGCTCCTCAGGCGCTAAGATCAGTTTCAGTTGGTAATGATGGGAGTTGAGGCAAAGGAGTTAAAGGTGATATTTTTATTAATTTTTGAGCAATCACATGCAGGGATGGAACTTGCAGTGTTTGTGGTTAAGAGGGTGGAGTTCAGGTGAACCAGGCAGTTTTGGATGCCTTCAGGTCATGCAGCAGAATGGGTCTGAGGGGCTGGCTGGAGGGCGCAGAAGTGGCACACTGCCACGCCAGTGGAAGGGGACAGAGCGCAGAGTGGTGACGGTCGAGTCTGCCCAGGCAGAGGGCAGGGTGGGGCCCACAGGTGAGAGATGGGAAGTGGGAGGAGCAGGTGGCTGAGGTTCTAGACGCGGAAAAGGTGCATGGGTGGCGGCAGGGGCTAGGCAAGAGAAACCAGGATGGTGGCTGCCACCGAAGGAAGAGCCAACAGAGGTGACTGAGGGGGCAGGGCCTGTACTTCAAGTGGAGCTGGGTGGGGACTGATGGCTTTGCATTTCAGTGCTGGGGGCAGGGCAAAGGGCAGGGGAGTAGGATGAGTAAATAGGGAGGTAGGGGAAACAGAGACCCTGTCTCAAAAACAAAACAAAAACAAAAAGTTCTCCACTCGCTTTCAAAGAATACCTGATCCATCGACCATGCAGCACCCCTCTGCTGAATGCGTCCAGGCAGCACTTGTGAACCCTGCACCAGCCTTCTCTTGGTCTGTGCTGTGACTTTCCCTGCTCAGTCAGGAGCCTCCTCAAACCCCACTGCACTGCACTGCCTTCTCTCCTGTGTTCCTCCACCACAGCCTCACGGCCTCGGGTGTGGAATATGTGCACCCGGGGGCTCTGACCTTCACGGAAGCCCCTTCCCTTATGTTCCCTGGAGTTGCCTCCTTTTGTCACCAGTTACCTGAGGGTTCTCTTGCTCTGCTTGTGGCTCTGGGCTGTAAGTGGTGGCCCCGGCCCTGGTATTTACAGCTCTGGGCCCAATGCTGCTGGGCACTGGTGAGTGCTGGGCGCTGCCAGTTGATTGCTGGTCTCTGTTGGCGATTTCTGTCAGCTGTGGGTCTCTGCAGCTCTTCAGGGCCAACAGCAAAAGGGTTAATAGCTGTTCTAAAGCAAGTGCTGTTGTTGAAGCTTGGGATGAGAACTTACAACATTGCTCCTCCCTCCACCTCCCAAGTGCTGGGACTGCGGGCGTTTACCACCATGCCCAGCAAAGCCTTCTGATTTGAACCCACGACTGGTCCAGATTTTGTTCTCCTGCTTAGTTCAAGTCAAGCTGCCAGTGGTCAGAGCAGATACCTCCTGGGGCGGCACAGGACACTCTGGGCGGTTGCAGCTGTCAGGGCAGCAGTTCCACGGAGCATTGAGACTGCTGCTGGATGGCTGGCAGTTGTCTCCAGGAAAATGGCAGAGCTAGAACTGGGGACTCTTCAGGAGGGCTGGTTGTATCAATCACAGCTTACTGGGGTTGGGATACCAGGGATATTGATGGGCCTGGGTCCCTCCCTGACCTCTGCCACCTGAGGGGGGTTTTGCTGCCCCTTCAGCAGCAGCAGCACCTGTAGCAGCAGGAACAAACTTTGGCACAGAGCAGGGTGGTGTACAGCCAGGAATAACTCGGAGATGGCAGCAAGGTGTGGGGATCCATCCTCAGGGCTCCGAGGGGAGTGAAGGGAAAGGAGGGGGAGGGGCGTGGCAGCTGTCTGCCAAACCATGTCCCCCTCGGGCTGTCACAGGTAAAAAGGGAGACAGGCACTTGTCCCCTTCTAATGACAGCTCATTTTTGACAGGGTCTATGTAGTTGAGGCTGGCCTTGAACTTGTGGCAGTCCTCCTGCCTCAGCCTCCTGAGTGCTGGGATTACAGGCTTGGCCACCTCACCCAGATCTACAGCTGATTATGACAAGGGATTTCCTTTCCAGTATACAACAGACCTCGAGATAATGGGCACAGATAATGGGCACAAATCGCAACTTCCCAACTTGTACAGTCTAGGATTCAACTGATTTGTTTTTTGACACAGGATCTTGCTCTTTGGCCCAGGGTGGCCTCAAACTCACAGCAGTCCTGCCTTAGCTTCCCAAGTGCTGGATCACAGGTGTGCACCATCACACCCAGCTAAGATGCAACTGATTCTTATGCAAAGATGGCCTTGCATGGATGCAGGAAGGACTCCATGTGGCTCGAGCAGGCACTGCTGTCTACCCCAAGATGGAAGAAAACAGAAGAGGGAGGGGCACTGTGGAAACAAGATGCTGCACTCAGTTTTGTCGCATCAAAACTCCTATGGAGGGCCGGGGACTTAGCTGAGTGGTTTTGCCCCCTGCTGTGCAAGCGCAAGGACCCAAGTTCGATCCCCAGTACCAACCAAAAACACCCCCTATGGACCAGAGGATGGAGAAGCCCAGCAGCAAGGTACCCCAGGAGCACCCACGGCACAGGGCCAGGGCTCTGCACGCACCCCTCCTGAACTGCAGTGGCGAAGCGCGTGCCAGATGTCAGCCTGTGGCAAAATGCAGAGCACAAACCTACCCTGGGCCTGGAGCTAACCTGTGCACAACCCTCATCCTGTGATGCCTCCTTGCTTCGGCTCTGGTACCTGACGCAGCAGTCACTTCTCTCGTCCCCAGAGCCTCCCGAGTGTGACAGGTGGGTGGGTCCTGGGTGCACTTTCCAGGGCACAGGGCCACAAGGCAGCTGGGAAGTCAGAGCTGTGACAGCAGCCAGTGGACATGGACAGGCAGGGACTCAAAAGTCGTTCTTCTGGAGGCGTCCAGGCTCAGACCTCAGGAAATGCTGTTTAATGAAAACAGGTGCTACAGTTCACCAGTTGGATACATTATGAAATTTATTTGTATTTCACCTCTCAAAAGCCAGAACATAACAAATTTCACTTTCTGGAAAGTCATCATTTTAGAAATACGTGAAGTGCACTTAAAACAAGCAAGTCAGTCTCTTGGTTCTGCCAGGAAGATGGATGTGCTCTTCTCACCTCCCTCCAACTCATCTTGTCAAACTTCCCTCCGCACTTCTACTGAGGTGATCTCAACTCAGGGAGGGCAGAGCCAACTTCCCCAGAAATGACAGTGAGAAGCTGACCTTACAACGCTCTCAAGTAGTAAACATGTCAGACAAACTGGACTGCCCCAAATGGCCCCGTCTTTGCTGGTTACAGGCATCTGCGGCCAGTTCCGTTCCCGTGGGCAGGGAGGGCCCAGAACTGCTGCACAGGCCCCAACCGTGGGTCAGAAAACACCGCCACATTCAGGCTAGAAATGTGACATGAGACCGAACTTCAATCCCATGCGCCTTCAGGCTGACAGCTCTCAACCTTCTATTTACTAACATTTGTGAAATATGTTCAAGCCTCTTAAGCTGCTACCAAAGCAAGTTTTTAGTAGACAGCTTTTATTATTAACTGTTCATCGGAGATGCTACCTTCCACAGTGGGGCTTGTCAGAAAAGACATAGTGAACAGCCTCTCTTGGCGCTGAAAAGCAGGGTTTAAAACAGATTTACACGTGGAAACCAGTGTTATAAGGAAAGCATGTGTGATAGGAAAATAATGCTCACCTAAGTTATTAAGTAGAAGATAAACCCTCAAAACCTCCTTACTCATCTGAAGACTTCTTCTCATGCTCTAGGACAAGGATGTATGCAAGCTCCCAAACACAGGTAAACAAGACTCAGCCAACTGCAAATGCATCTTTAGTTGAAAATCAGAATGAAAAGCCATGACTCCCCTACCTCTCTCAGCTGACCTTCTTTCCACTTATGAACAAATGCATCTTAACTTTCCTAACCTAGAAACACTTCACTAAAAACATACGGTTATACCTTCCTCTAAAAAGGCACCATGCAGGCATTTAAGATGAACCACCAGTTCATTCTAAGGATATGCAGGAGTATAGGAAAATATCCCCACTAATAAAATCTCCAGTATCAGATCATGTGAAAGCTAGAACGTTCACCCCAAGAGGGCGCTTAAAATGCTCCCCAGGGTGCAGCTGCTGGTAAGGACCTGACAAGCAGCTTGGCAGCACAGATGTGCTGTGGCAGAGTTTGCATAGCCCGGGACAGGGAAAGGCGCCGCTTGCTTCATTGTGCTATTCGTGATGTGGAAAAGGTCCCGGCTGGCTCAGACGACCTGAGAGATGAACTCTGCATGGGAGAAAGGCTGTGAAACAAGAACATGGGGATGTGGAGAAGCTGGATTCCCTTCCAGAACAGGAAGTAGAGGTCCTGGAAGTAGCTGAGGGCCAATAAGACTGGATCGTGTAACAAACAAGGTAAATTGTGGGAAAGACAGCTTTGGCAAGAGCCCAATGGACAAGAGGGCTCCAACCTGGAGACCCACTGCCCCTGTCAGAAGTGACTCTGTCCCAATGCCATGGCTCAATTCCAGGTCTGTTGTACAGTAAAGGTGCAGGAGTCAAAGGTTTCACACTTTAACATATAATGGAAGCTCTACAGCACGAGACGGACAGAAGGACGCTGCTCACTGGTCGATGATGGAGCGCTGCAACACCTGGTTCATCATGTCCTCTTCATCGACGTCGTAATCCTGAGGGAAAAATGGACACAGCCTCAGCAAGGTTCACAGCGGCAAGGACTCACTCAGTAGGGGGCGAAGAGCCTAGCAATGAGGGCTGGATGAGGCCAAGGACTCCAGCCCAGCCCACCCTCTGTGATGCTAACTATGTACCTGGGCAAATTACTTCATCTCTGTGTCTCTGCCACCTCATCTTAACTGAAAATAACAATGACTCCCTCAGCTGGGGCTCATGGGCCCAGACAGCATCCGGTGTCTGGCACAGACCAAGTGCTCAGCGAGCTGTGGATGCACAAGGCAAACAGAGGCACAGACGCACCCTGCAGAAGCGCCCAAGTGTCTTAAGCATGGCTGCAGTGCTCAGTAGAGAACAGTCTTCTTTGTTTGTTTTTGGTACCGGGGATCGAACTTGCATCCTTGTGCTTGCGACGCAGGTGACAGAACCACTGAGCTAAATCCCCGGCCCTAGAGCAGTCTTAAGGAGGCAAAATTATTTACTTTGGCATTTTTAGGAATTAATTTATTTTTATAGCATTAATGATATGAAAAGTTATCCTGATTCTGAGTCTCAGCCTGTGTCAGACTGAGAATACACTTTATGACAACTTAGGAAAAAGCTCCTCTCTTCTTAGAGCCTGAAAAACAGCTATTAGGAACAAACACTACTCTAAAATACTAACTCAACACCTACATATGTAAATAAAAAGTTTATTTTAACCAGTTGGTCAAGGGCCGGGATTTAGCGCCAGCCTTGCAAGCACAAGGTCCTGAGTTCAATACCCAGTACTGAGGGAAAAAAAAAAGGCAGTTGGTTAAATTTAGCACTGTAATGGCAGAATAACAAGGCCCCTTCAAATCCATCCACTCTAGGAAAAGAATACTAAACTCACAGCCATGTTGGCTGGATGTGTGCCGCCTGACCTGGAGTATTTGTGAGACTTCATGCAATGTTCTGCATTTCCTGCGGGGGCGGGGAGGGGGGCTACTGTCAATGGCCTGGTGCATGCTGGGCAAGTGCTCTACCACTGAGCCACACCCCTAGGCCCAGGCCTGTATTTCCACATGACAACTACCACCCGAGTTATACCAGCGTGTAAATCCTAAACGTGTAAATCCTTGCCTAGCCCCAATGGGCATCTGAGCCTGAGGTGCCCAAACTAAATTCTGTAACAAGCAAAAATTATACAAAAAGAATGTGGGCAAAACTGGGAGTCAGAGAGAGCAATGAGCAAGTTTCACTGTGTCTCTGACTAGATAACTGACCAAATTTTATTTTTTGGCACCAAGTACTGGGGATTGAACTCAGGGCTTTCTCCCTGAGCTATACATATATCCCCAGCCCTTATTTTTAGGAGACAGGGTCTTGCTAAGTTTCCAGGCTGAGGTCAACCCTTCAATCCTCCGGCCTCACAGGGTGAGGGAATTGCAGGCGTGCACCACCACCAGCTCCAAATCATCTTACAGCACTCTGGCTATCCAGCTGCCCAAGAGCAGACAATGCAGGGATGCTGTTCCAGAGACCAGAAGCCTCTGCATCAGTGATGAAGCTGAATGCTTGGGCCTCTAATTCCCCTTTTCAGAAAATGAATAGGTTGTGTTCCCCAGGGGAGGGATCAGACTCACCACAAAAGTGTCGTAGGAAAACTGGTGGCGGCGTTGGATGTGCTCTATGAAGTTGGCGCTGCGATAGTTGGGGTCTCCCCAGGGCATTGAGGCACAGATCGGACAAACCTTTCAACAAAGAAGCAAGGTCTCAGGCATCTGATGTCCGAGCTGACTCCTGCCTTCTGTGGCCTGTGTCTGGCCCCTTTTCCTGACACCCTAGTCAAGGTACTGGTCACTCCTTCCTGTGTACATCAGCATTCCAGAAAACACAGAAGTCTCCTACTCCAGTCAAACGCCATGCGGGATGTAGAGGCTCAAGTTATGAACCCACAGGCAGCAGCATGAAGAGGCAGCTGGGAGGTGGCGGCATCAAGTAAATGGCCAGAGCAGCTAGGATGGAAGATTCACACAGGGAGGAAGAGGGCGCAGTGCCCCAGGTTGGGCATGGGACCCTCACCAGCTGCAAGGGAGACACCGTGCCAAGTGGGGTCAGTGAGATATCAATCCGGGGTGGCAGAAGGTGTAGACTGGAAGAGGAAGCAGGCAGCTGTGGAGTGCGAAGGCGGGTGAAGACCGGAGATTGAGGAGACAGCTTCCAAACGAGAGGGCTGCGGGCTTGGGAGCCAAGGAGCTGCCAGGGGAGAGGAGCTAGAGAGGGGGGCCACGAGCTGGAGGCCAAAGGGCTCCACAGAGACAAAATCATCACAGGGATCTCAGAAAGCCACAGGGGAAGGAGGGCGAGGAGAGGGGAAAAAACAGGCTGCAGAATAATGGCTATCAAAATTATGAGTGCAAGTAATCTTTGACCAAATTAACCCATACCTAAGACTTTCTCTTATAAACACAGGGCCGAGGATACAGCTCAGTGGTACAGCCCTGCCTGGTATATGCAAGACCCTGGGTTTGGTCTTCAGCACTGGAAATTAAACATATGTAGACATATAAGCAAGCACAAAAAATTAAATTTTTTTTGAGACAGGGTCTTGCTATGCAGTTCAGGCTGGCCTCGAACTCACAGTGATCCTCCCGACTCAACCTCCTAACTGCTGGGATTCTAGGTGTGCACCACCACACCCAGCATGCACAAAAAGTTAAATAAACACACAGGCGAAGATTGTTAAAATTTGTGACAGCAATTTAAATTTTTTAGGAAAAATTTCAAACCTACAGAAAAGCAGAAAATAGTTTGACAAACCTTCCCTTATACTCCAACATCTAGAATTGAATTTGGCATACTTCTTTTAATTACCCCCCCATTTTTATTTATTTATTTTTGTGGTATGTGGGAGCGAACTCAGGATCTTGCACTTGCGAGGCAGGTGTAGTGCCACTGAGCTAAATCCCCAGCTCTCCCTTTTTTAAAATTCAGTACTGAACCCAGAGCTTTTGCACTGAACTATATCCTCAGTCTTTATTTTTTGAAACAGGATCTCGTTAAGTCCCTAAACTGCCAAGGCTTGGCTTGAACTTGCAGTCGTCCTGCTTCAGCCTTCCAGAATGCTGGGATTACAGATGCACCGCCACACCCAGCATGGCATATTTATCTCAACAACTCCCCAAGAGTGTATCTTATTTTATTTTTATTTATTTATTTTTTTGGTACCAGGGATCGAACTTGGGTCCTTGTGCTCGCGCAGCAGGGTGCAAAACCACTGAGCTAAATCCCTGGCCAAGAGTGTATTTTAAAATATGACACATTTCACCTTAACTATTTCAGAGTGAAAGAGTATTTCCCTATATAAATGCAATTTTACTATTCTATCTAACAGGCAACATTAACTCTTTAACAAATTTTTTTTTTTTTTTTGGTACTGGGGATCGAACTCGAGATCTTGCGCGGCAGGCTCCGGAACCACTGAACTAAATTCCAGGCTCAACAAGTTTTTTTTGAGAGAGAGAGAGAGGTCGCGCTCTGTAGTTCAGCCTGGCCTTAACTCACTATGTAGCCCAGTCTGGCCTCAAACTTGGACCATCCTCTTGCCTCAGGCTTGGAGTGGTGGGACTACAGGCGTGTGTGCCACCACACCCAGTGACCTCTGTAATCCAGACCTGGTGGCACACCAGGTGCTTTGTCAGTGAGCTACATTCCAAGCCCTTTTTAAATTTTGAAGTAAGATCTCACTAAAATAGCTAGGCATGGTACTGCATGCCTGTAATCCCAGCACCTGGGAGGCTGAGGCAGGAGGATCACGAGATGGAGGCCAGCCTGCACTACATAGTGAGTTCAAGGCCACCCTGAACTACATAGTGAGACCCTGTTTCAACAAACAGACACACAGACAGACAGGTCTCATTAAGTTGCCTCAGCTAGTCTCAAACTTTTGATCCTCCTGCCTCAGTTTCCTGAGTAGCTAGGATTAGCTAAGTGTGTATCATTATGCCTGGCTACAGTTTTTTTAATGAACTTACTAGAGACAAAGCAACAAATTTTTAAAATTTCAGAGATGATGGAAAACAAAGATTCCAACAAAATAAGCTGGTATCACTGGAAATGTTGTATCTGGAGGAGGATGGAGATGGAAGAAGCCAGACACTATGGAAAACACAGTAGCAACTGAAAGACACAGGGGCAAAGAGAACTGAATGTTATCCAGAGAAAATATTAGATCAAATATTCTTTTTAGTGGGGCATGGTGATGCAAGCCTGTAACCCTAGTACTCAGGAGGCTGAGGCAGGAGGATCTCTGAGTTCAAGGCCAGCCTGGGCTATATAGTGAGTTCAAAACTGGCCTGAACTAAAAAAGCAAGACCTGGGCCGGGGATTTAGCTCAGTGGTTTCACTGCCTGCTGCACAAGTGCAAGGACCCAAGTTCGATCCCCGGTTTAAAAAAAAAAAAAAGAAAAGCAAGACCCTGTCTCAAAAAACAAAACAAAAAAAATTTTTTTTTTCTACCAAGTAGTAGAAAAGATCTGGGTATATTTGATGAGAAAAAAAGATAAAGAGCAAACAGCACAGCTGAAAGTAAGACAGAGAACATGTAACACGTATGGTGCCAGGCCCTAACCTTAGACCTCTAACTACACCTGAGAACACAGGTAGAGAAGATTTAGACTTGGAAAGGAGCCTTCTTCCTCAACACAAGGTGGAAGGACAAGGCTAAGGAACAAAAGTTGCCAACTCCAGTGCTTATGGGAACCAGGCTAGGAAGGCAAATCAGAGAGGCAGGCTTGACGTAAGCCCAGCCCTTCGAGGGGACAGTAACTACTCACAGCCAACCAACTCTCGCCAGAACTAATTTTTAAATCTAGAGCATTAATTTTCAAAATCTAGAGTATCGAAACTAAGAAAGCTTCTTGGTAGACACCACGGGATTCAAGTTAACAATCCAACAAAGGACCAAAAGATGTCACACGACCCCTAAGTGGCACTCAGGACAGCACTTCCCTACCACCCTGGCCCCTCCTTTGCAGGAGGGGAAAATTGCTAGGAAGGACACTATAAATGTTAAAATTTTAACACGGATTTCATATTAGATTTTTAAAGAAAATGTTCTTGGGAATCTCATCTTATTAAAAAGCTTGTACTGGAATCAAACTCAGGACCTTGGCTTTTGAGGCAGGTGCAGCGCCACTGAGCTAAATCCTCAGTCCTTAAAAAAGCTTTTGCACAGCAAGAGTAAGCACCAACAGAGTGAAGAGACAACCCATAGTGTGGGAAAAAAGTTTCACCAGCTGCTCCTCAAAGGACTAATATCTAGAATATATAAAGAACTCAAAAAAATCAGACTCCCCAAATTTAAAGACTCAATCCAAAAGTGAGCATCTGAAATGAATAGACACTTCTCAGATGAAGAAACAGAAATAGCAAATAAACGTATGAAAAGATGTTCAACATCACTGGCCATTTGAGAGATGCAAATTAAAAATGCTAGAGCTGGGACAACCCATTTTCTGGTCCCCTTTCTCTCTCCCTTAGGAAAAAAAATCTATCTTTCAAATTTTTCCTACTCTTAACCTCCGTTGTTCCTAGAATTCAATTTTAGAGAACACAAATTCAAATTGGGAATATCTAGCAAGTTTGGGAGTTGCATGTATTCCCCCTGTATCATTTTGGAGGTCCCACCTAGATTACCGGTCAGAGGCAATCAGAGGACTGATCCACCTCCGATATTTGGTGCTCGACATGGGAGCAAGGAGACCTGAGAGGGAAGTTCCACTCCAGTGGAGGAAAGGACACATGATGTGTTAGGTGGGATTCAACTACTAAAACAATCATGGTTGCTAAGAAATAACAGCCCTCTACCTGTGCTTTAATTTCAAAAGTGCTTCATGTCCAGACAAAATTATAAAAGTCAAGCTCACTGCTCCTACTGCACTACTTATGACCCTGATCTTCTCTTCTGCGTGTTCAACAACTAAAGTTTGGAGACCAAAACTAGAAAGAGGCTGCCAAACTCCAAGTGGTCATATAAATGGAACCAATGACAAATGTGCTAGACTTTTACCAGGATCCACCAGATCAACCTAGTAAAGAGCTCTTAACTGCAAAACTACAAAACGAATTCGATGTCGGATTCTGAAGTCCCCTGGACCTTCTCCTTATCCTCTTTGTGGGGGGCTACTGTTGCCTATATTCATAGCAATCCTGGTGACCTTATTATTTGGCCCATGTATTCTTAACTGTTTCTTTGGCTTTTTCTCCTTCAGACTCAAAGCTATACACCTACCCAAGATAACAATGCCTGGTACCTATGAAGGGCCTTAGACAGACCCTCTGTAGAGTAATGCTGACTGCTGATCACAACTATGACCATCTTCTACCAGAAATAGCCAGAACGGTCTTTGCCCCTTGCCAGCTCACCACAGTTAGGGATACTTCTTCAGAGGGGAGAATATTGTAGAGTAGGTAAGTTAATGAGGGATCTTTCCTGGAAGAGGGGGGGTAAGAGTTTGGTCCCCCATCCAGGTGATACCTATTTAGAATATCAATCACTTACCACAGCAACATATGCACACCCATGTTTATAGCGGCACAATCTGTAATACCTAAAGCTTGGAAACAGCCCAATTGCCCATCAACTGGAGACTGGATGAAGATGTGGTTTAATAAAATGGAGTACTACTCAGCCATAAAGAATAAGAAACTAGAGACATTTATAGCTAAATGGATGCATATTGAAGTCATACTCTTAAGTGAGGACACACGTGTAAATACCAAATAGTTCTCTGATGTGAGAAACTAAAAGTGTAAATAAGGATCAAAATGGGGCCAGGGGTTTAGCTCAGTGGTTCTGGCGCCTACCTTGCAAGCGCAAGGTCCCCGAGTTCGATCCCTGGTACCAAAAAAAAAAGGATCAAAATTGTATAATTGAAAATATGAAACAGGAAGAAAAGGTCTAAAGGGGTAGGGGAAGTAGGAGGGGTAGGGGAAAGGAAATAAGGGAAAGGAAAAAATATGAGAAAAGGAAAAAATGGAAATAAAGTCTCTGTAAATAGGGAGAGGTGGAGGGGTTGAAGGGAGGGCAGGGGAATGGGGAAAAAATAAGAACCAAGAGGGTACAAGTCCCCAATGATGAATGTAACTGTAATGTATGCCTAAAATGTACCAATAAACTTAATGGGAAAAAAAATGCTAAAGCTAGGCATGGTGGCACATGCCTATAATCCCAGCACTTGGGAGGCTGAGGCAGAAGGATTACCAGGAGCTCGAGGCCAGCGTGGGCTACATAGTAAATTCAGGGCCAGCTTGAACTACAAAGCAAGACCCTGTCTCAAAAATCCTAAAAAAAAAAAAAAAAAAGCTACTATGGACGTGTGTGTGTGTGTGTGTGTGTGTGTGTGTGTGTGTGTGTGTGTGTGTGGTCCTGGGGCTTAAAACTCAGGGCTTTGTGCCTGCTAGGCAAGCACTC